GGAGGGTCGATCGCAGTGCCCCGAGGTGGCGCCCGCTGCCCGTCGTCTGCGAGGTGGACGGTCCGCCGGCCCGGGCCCCTTTTGCAGACTCGGTGGCCGGAGTGCGCCGGCGCCGCCCGCCCGGACTTGGCACGTTCCGTGCGGCCGCGGCGTCCGGGCTCCAGGTCCCCGACCTCAGCCTGGCTCGGCCCCTGGCGGCCGCTCTTTGGCTCCATCGCTTCAGCATATTTATGATCGCTTGCCACATTCCCGGGCCATTCTTTGACAGTTCCCAAATCACTTGGGTCAGGAGCTGGTGGGAGCGTCACAACAGGTGGGGCGGCCAGAGCTGGGAGCTGGGTGGCTTATGTGTCCACCGTGTCCTGGGACTGGGGTTTTGGACTCGTGAGGTTACAGCTAGGCTGTGGTTCTTGGCCGCCACGGGAACTTTGTTTCTTCACCCGGGCGACTCCATCCTTTGGGGGCAGGTCTCGTCCCTTAAGCAGCACAGCATGGAGACCACCCAACACAGGGATCATGGAAGTATAGATACCTGGGGAAGGGGCCAGGGACCTCTGTCACCTGTGTTCCTCTTGAAGGCAAGGGCACATCGATTTCCCTTCTGGCAACTTAGGAGCTTCCCCCTTGCCTTTGATTATCCTTGTGATTCGCCAGAGGAAAACTAATTCCTTCCCAAATGTTAAGCTGTCTGGAAACTTCCCACGAGGGTCAGGGTCAGAGAAAGGCTATAAACCGGTCCGAAATGGAGCAAAATCTCGATTCATCATAGACCCTAAAGGTCACTTGGTTGCAAGTCCTCAGCTAGTTTAAAATCTGGCCTGCAAGTCTACAGCAGAGCTGGGGGCAGGGATGAAAGACTGATCCGTAGCCAGGAGATGACCCTCCGCATACAGATGGACATTTCTAGAAGAGCCTGTGACCACCACTCTCCATGAAATTACGTTTAAGCTGTGCTTGGTCAAAACTGAGCCTCAGTTAATCAATTCAAAATAAACGTTCTTTTTGTATCTTGAGTACCTTTTTGAAAATCAAAAGATAATTTAAAAAAATTGCCCGGCCTCTAATTGTTAAATTCAGAAATTATCCCCTTTCCAGTATTAACTGTCTGTTCCCATTTACTTGTGTATGTCAGTTCCCACCCTTATGTTTGATTTACTGGCCCTGCGGATTTCTCAGGGAGGTGGAAGGGTAGGAATCCCAGATTTTGTTGCCTAAGGTAAACTGGTTTATTGTTACTGAGTCCTCTCCTTTTCTCTATCAGGACTAAGGATTATTGACAGCTAGTTCCAAAAGCTGTACATCTCCCCTTTTAAATTGTCAGCAGTGAGTATAAAGTAACAGCGCAGGTATCCTGGAGACAGAAAGAAGTAGCAACCTGGGGAAACCGGAGGAATCTGAGCTGCTTTTAAGTGGAACTGGACCTGCAGTGTTCTGCAGAGGAGCTGTGAAGCCACACAATTTCAAGCAAGCCTATAGTGAAGTCAACATACCAAAAAGTATTAAACAATACAAATATTTTAGTTCACAGTACTCTTCCTTTGGATATGAATAATTGAATATGTTAACTAGTTTGCTGTCTATGGAAACTTGTTTTCTTTGCATGCATTCCATCCATTGCATTCTATTCAGAATCCAGAAAAGGGTATTTTCAAATAAACACATTCTAAATCTTCAGAATATTAAGTTGCAAAGAACCCGAAGGTAAGAAAAATTGACTGCATGGAAGAGCCACTAGTTTTCTGAGGGAAACGCACAGTGAAAATATGTTCTTTGTATCAGCTGTAAACAGGAAAGCTGTAAGCTTAGATTTATAGCATCACTCTCAGGGAACAATAGGAGTATTTAAAAAACTTGGCAACTCTCACCATATAAAGAGACACCAAATAACATTCTTGGTTATAAGTTAAAAACAAGATTTTAATGACAATGAGCTATGGGAATTCAACTAACACATTAATTAAATAAGTAATATAATATATGTTAGCACAGACCCACACTAGCTGCTAGTGAAAACTATTCAGTTGGTGGGGAAATAGTGTAAAAAAGGAGCTCTGGTATCAGAATGGTTACAAGTCAGACTGCTAACCGCAAGGTCCGCAGTTTGAAACTACCAGCGGTTCTGTGGCAGAAAGAGGAGGCTTTCTGCTCCCGTGAAGATTTATTGGCCTTGGAAACCCTGTACAGGGTCGTGATGAGTCAACCGACTCCACAGCACACCACCACCACCACCACCACCAGAGTAAGTAGAAGAAAGTTATGACCATGAAAAGAAATCAGCAGGTTCAGAAATGAGAAACTAAAAAAGTCTCCTGTAAAAAACAGGAGGAAAAACGAAAGCTCTGTTAACGAGAAAAGACTTTATAGATCCAAAACTATACTGTTATATATTATGCAAAATATGTGATTGTGGAGATTCAACTAAGGCTTTGTAAAATGGCTACATGTATTCTTAACTACATTCTTGTACCTTCTGTTGGTAATAGCCACCTTGTGACTATTTTGAAAATTGCAAAATGCAAAATGAACCTCTTTTTTTAAAAAATGGAATTTGGGGATTAATATATAAATTGTTTATAAGGGATTTGCTTTGGTAATTACCCATTGTGCATGAACCCTGGATTTAACCTCCAAGAAATTGGCTTACTGAATCCTTAAACTCACAATGCTTGATGCCCAAATTGGGAGCACGGTGTCTCCATAGGATGGACTGTGAACCGTAAGGTCAACAGTTGGAGCCCACCAGCCACTCTGTGGGTAAGAATTTTTTAAAAAAAGAAAGCCTCAGAAACCCTAAATGGGATCCCAATGAGTCAATACCAGCCTGACAGCACTTAACACCAATGTCCACATGAAATCATTTTAGTCCTCCATTATACAAACTAACAAGCGTGTTAAAATAGGTGCTGCAATCATGAGTCTTGAAGTCAGCTCTGTGGCCCTGGGAAGAAAAGCACTCTGCCCTCAGTGTCACACATTGATAAATGAGATCTCTGCCTATCCTCTAGAGTAGTTCTGTCCTGTCCAGGCCACTGTAACACACAGTGACCTTAAGCAAAGAGTCGAAGTGTCCCGTCGATTTTCCAAGACTGCAATCATTTCCGAAGTAGCAGTCCAGAAATCATATGATGCATTGCATTTGGGTAAATCTGCTGCCCAAGACTTCTTTAAAGTGTTAAAGAACAAAGATGTCACTTTGAGGACTGAGGTATGCCTGACCCAAGCCATGGTATTTTCAATTGCCTCCTTATGCATGTAAAAGTTGGACGGTGACTAAGGAAGACCAGAGAAGAATTGATGCATTTGAATTATGATGTTGGAGAAAATTGTTGAAAGTACCATAGACTGCCAGAAGAACCAACAAATCTGTCTTTGGAAAAAGTACAGCAGAATGCTCCTTAGTGGGTTCAAATCCCTGACCTTTCGTTTAGCAACCAAATGCATAAACACTTAAAAACATAATTTCCCTTTCCCTCCTCTTTAGCAGCGGTAACTTTGAATGTTTCCTTAAGGCTGAGTAGTTTTCACTTTTCAACTACAAAGCAATTTGTCTCTTGAAAATATTTCTGGTATGTTGTTGTTAAGTGCTATCCAGTCGGTTCTGATTCCAAGTGACCTAATATAGGGTTTCCAAGGAGCAGCTAGTGGGTTAGAACTGTAGGCCTTGTGGTTCACAGTCCAGTGCTGATCCTACAGTGCCTAGTATATTGCTCCTAAGCTGTTTGAAATGAGCTCCATATATTTTTCCTGAGTAACAAAAACATCAAACACTTTAATGACTTGAAAGAACTCTGGATCATAGAGGGTTCCCGCTCTCAGATGCTTCAACTTTTAAGTCTTTTGACCTGAGGTAACACACATGATTCATTTCTCCATCTGTAGAGTATTGGAGCAAAGACCCTGATGGCTTCTTCTAGCTCCACAGTTTTGTGATTAACAGTCATACAAATACCTTTGTAGGCTTTTTGATACCTCCTGGTGAAAATAGCTAATGCACTGATTGTTGTTGTTAGGTGCCTCCGAGTGGGTTCTGGTTCATAGTGATCCTGTATGGAGTTTCCAAGGAGCAGCTGGTACTTGTGAACCACTGACCTTCTGGTTAGCAGTCTGGCTAGCAAAGTAATTAGAGTCACTTTGTAATTGGGTCTCAAAGTTGTGGTTGTGTGCTGTCAAATCAGTTCTGACTTGTAGTGACCCTGTATAAGATTCTCTGGGTTATAAATCTTTACAGGAACAGAAAGCTACATCTTTCTCCCTCAGAGCGTCTGGTAGATTTCAACTGTTGACCTTGCAGTTAGCAGCCCAGCTCGGAATCCACCATGCTCGCTACCTGGGCAGGCATTTCATAAATAGCACATCAAAGGCGTATAAGTCCTTATGAACTTTCTTTATGAAATGTGCACGAGTAAGGAGAATCAATGGATTCCTGGAGATCCTAACGTGTCTGGCTCTTAAAACTATGTTTCCCAGGACTCAGGTTTCTATGTATATTGTATTGATACACACCTGAGACTGAGAACACTGTTAGAAGGTGATGTTTCACAGCAACCAAATGGTATCTGAGATAACTACTGGGTACTTTGGACATGTAGAGACC